TTTTTTTTTTTTTTTTTTTTTGACATCTTGTAAAAAAACTATTTGTTAAGTTTGTCCAACAAGTTGCAGAAAACGGTCTCGATATTCAGAGAGAAAACTTCATCTTGAAAGTGATCACCAAGGCTATTCTACCTCTCCAAAACCACAACTGCCCGCATCCTACTGTGTCCCATCTGCCTTTCCAAAGAGACACCTTTCAGGAAGCTGGCAGGCAGGAGCCCCCTGCCCCTGGCAGATGCACGTGGCCAGCAGAAGGCACAAAATCAGGCTATGCCCTGCCGCTAGAAGAGCAGGTACGGGTACGTGGGTAGTTTAGAAATTCACATGCTACGTCGCTGACCACCACAGTGAGAAATGAAGATCGAGTTCTATGTTTGGAGAAGACCAGAGACCCCCCCCCCCCCCAAAAAAAAAAAAAAAAAAAAAAAAAACCAAAAAAAAAAACCCACAAAACAAAACAAAACAAAACCAGATGATGTGAGTGTCACTTGCGGTAACAGCAGCGGAGACGCGCACTCCGCCGTGCGCGGACTCGAACTGAGCCGCTGCCGCGGGCGGCGCCGATCCCGATCCCGCCCCGCGCTGGCGTTGCCCCAGGGCCGGGGCAGCGGGGCCGCCAGGAAGAGCTGCTCCCAGCCCCACTGCAGGTGTGCGCTGGGCCCCGAGGAGCAGGTGAGGGCACCCCGGCTTGCCCTGGGGCCGGGGATCAGGGTTCCGCTCCCAAAAAGCTTTCCAGAGGGCGGCACGAGAGCGGGAGCGGCGCGATGGCCCCGGCGCAGTCCCGGGCCGAGGGGGCCGTGCCGCGGCCGTCCAGAGCCGGGCCGGCGGCCGGAGGCGAATTCTCGCTCCAGAGCCAGGGCCGAAAGCCGGCGGCACCCTTCCCGCTCCCAGGGAACGCTGACGGCCCGGCCCATCCTGGTGGGTCGTGCTTAGTGCCAGCCTGTGGGGAGTGTGTGTGCAAACACACACACCGGTACATTTCCCACTGGAACAGCGGTTCTCCTCGCAACTGTTCCTGGTATTTCTCACCAGAAAATCTCTCATTTGAGCTCTCAGGCCGTACCAGATTCTCAGGAGAGAAGCTCCCCAGAGCTCCCGGACAATGGCAGGTAAGAGCAAATGCGAATGAAAATGCTGCTCGCTCCAGGCCTGGGCAAAGGGCACCTCAGGGATGGGACCTCGCTGACGTGTTTAGTTGAGACTTTGAGGTCTTCCTTTTTCAAACCACTGAAATTACTTCAGTAAGTCATGCCTCAGAAAACTCCAGTCTCCCCAAACACTGTGTCCAAGCCCCTTCAGATCCAGTGAAAGGGGAACAATCTGGCAGCTTTGCAGAATCAATCTCTTTCAGTCAATCAGTCAATCAATTACCACCCTTCGGAGCTTGTGGCATCTCCAGGTACTGAGCTGCCTTTTTACTGAGAGATGGCAGGAATAGAAAAGAGATAACTGCTCCTGATATTCCAGAGTAAGTTATGGAGCAAGGGTTTTCAGAGTTGATACATGCCTTGAATTTATGATAGTGTTTGACCCGCAAGTTTTAATAAATGTTTTTTGCAAAGCTCTTGTTTCATGGGCACTATGCTCCCTGGGGAAAGAATCACCACTTGTAAGTTAGGTTAAAAATGAGCTGTTGTTTCTTCAAGCATTCAGCTTGGGTTCTATTAGTTATCCCTAACAGCCTAAACTTGCCTGTCACTTAGCAGGTGGTGCTCTGGGATGTACATCAGGAGCTGTGTCATGCAGCAACTGAGCTCAGGAGATGCCTGAAGCTTAGTGTTGGCAGTCAGGAACCAAGAGCTGCATGTCTTGTAGATCCAGTCCTTTTCAACAGTCCTTGG